TTTTTGATAAACCACTAAAAAGCGTTTCCCTTCTTTTGATTTTGTACTTTGAACTTCGTTTTCTGTTAAATTTTTGAAGATTTTCTCTGCATTTCCATTTCTTCAGGTACTGCCCATGGTTCAATTTTTTTTTTTTTTTTACATCTTTGTTTTCAATGCCCGTCTCTTCTCCGTCCTCTGCTATGAATGCATGATTCATGAATTTGACCCTTACTTCAACTACCGTACCACTCTTTACCTTACCCAAAATGGCTTCTACAATTTCTGGAACTGGTTTGACTACGAAAGTTGGTACCTTTTAGGTCGAATCATCAGCGGAACCCTTTATCCTGGGGGTCATGGTAACCGCCGACCTCATTTATCGCCTTCTTCATTTCCTTCGTTTCGCCGTCCATATTCGTTAAGTATTCTCTTCAATTCTATTCATATTGTAGGGGTTTCTTCTGTGGTAGCCTATAGTTCCATTAAACTAAATGGAAATCAAACGGGACAAATCCTCAAACTTGCTTCCTTTATTAGATAGGCACAAAGTTATTGTTTATGGTATACCTGTTTGTGTCTTTACCAACATATTTATTGTTTCTTCTTCACCAGGAAAGATGCAAGTGAAGCTGATGGATACTACAATGATCACTTCATCATGCAGCATGATCTTCTAAGAGAGCTGGCTATCTATCTGAGCAGCTTGGACCCTGTTGAAAAAAGAAAGAGGTTAATTGTAGAACTAAGCAGCAATAATTTTCCCAATTGGTGGTTGGAAGAAAAGCAACCACTTCTTGGTGCCCGCCTCTTGTCTATTTCCACAGGTTGTTAGCTGTACCTCTCCAACCTTCAGACACATACACACAAATTAAGAAATTTACTCTTACCGCTAACTTCTTATGCCGTTTAATCACAGATGAAACATCCTCATTCAATTGGGGCAGCATTCAAGCACCAGAAGTTGAGGTTCTAGTTCTCAATTTTCGGACAAAGAACTACACCTTGCCTGTCTTCATGGAGAAAATGGAGAAATTGAAGGTTTTGATAGTCATGAATAATGGTATCTACCCACCGAATTAAGTAACTTTCCACTTGGTTATGTGTACTATTGGTCAGGCTTTTAAGAATGGTACTAACAGGATCTTAGATATTTTTCCAAATCTTTTGGAAATTGACATTGACTATTGTGATGATCTGGTGGAACTGACTGATGGGTTGTGTGATCTTGTTCAACTGATGAAGCTTAGTATCACCAACTGTCACAAGCTTCGTGCATTGCCTGAAGGCATTGGAAAGCTGGTAAACTTGAAAGTGCTAAGACTAACATCCTGTACTGACCTCAAGACATTGCCTGAGACCATTGGGAGCTTATCCCAGCTTACTGTTCTTAACATTTCCAACTGTCTAAGCATCATCAACATGCCAATCCAGATTGGTGAACTGCACAATCTAAGCAAGCTCTGTATGAGGGGGTGCTCCAGCTGTAACCTACCTTCAACAATAAAAAAGCTTCAACATTTGAAGGATGTCATCTGTGATGAGGAGACATCCTATCGATGGTATTCTTTCAAATGTGATCTCACCAATCTAAAGGTAAAAGTTCATGAGGAAGATATCAACTTAAATTGGCTTCAGACATGTTTATAAGTTCCCTTTTTTCTCATATACTGTATAAGCTCCCTTTATTTTCATGTATAAAGCTTCATTTTATGAACATAATGGACTCAATGGACCAGGGCAATTTGAGACCAGCGTTGTTACAGTCTTTCTCTCTGATACTTTACCAGGCACTCCAACATAAATTCTCTGCAACCATGTCTTCACACTTTGATATGCCCGAAATAAGTCCACCATTAATGCAGAGAAGCTGTCTTCTTCCTATTACATTGCATAGACTATCTCCCGGCTGCTATAAATACCAAGCTCAGATTCAGAATCGAGGTCATCCGTGTCCTCATCATCAAGGTTTTCTACGATGTAATGGTTTAAGCCATGGGCTTCCAGCAGCTGGAATGGTGGCCCCAGCAATTATCTGCATGATCGTATCTGTCAGCTGGAAGGTTTTTTGCTTGGAATATGACCCTTGCTGCTTATTTATTTGGGAAAGAAATTTGGGACTTCAGCGCTGACTTGTTGCTGCAATGGAACTTTCAAGTTAACCAAGCAAAACCCAGTTTTTCTTTTCTCTTTTTCTTGTATTATATGAATGATTTTCTATTAAACCATTAATCCTGCTTCTTGAAATACAGGAACATTGAATGCTCCTTTCACCTAAAAGGATGAGCTAAATTTCTCTTGAATCTCTCTGTTGATTTGGCTTTCTGGCCTATAAAAGGTTAGTTCTTTCTCCAAGTCTTTGACAAGTTATCTATATTTTTATAATTGAAAAAAAAAAATAGAGCATACTAAGCTTTGATTGACTTAAATACATGGAGGTTTAATTTGATTATTGATGTTGGTTGAAGTTTATGTTGCAAAAGCTTTTGTGTTCTACAAAAGCAAATGAAGGAAGTTTAGAAATGGAGTGTTCAACTTTATGTTAAAATAGCACATAGGATAACTGGGAAAAGTGAAGGAACAGAGTCTCCAAGAACTGTGACACATAATGTACTTAGGTTTTTACACTTACTTACAAATTTTAAGTAAGACAGGAAATGAGACAGGAAATGAAAATATATATAATTTCAGTTGAACCCTCAACACCAAATGTCAAGGTCTCACTGGTTAATAGCTAGCTTAATTGCTAATTAGTATTTATTGCAAGCATAAATTAACTGTGGTTTGTTTATCAGTTCTTCCTGCTAACATCTACTTCTGCTGTTCTTGCATTTTTTTATCAAATTCTTGGACTTGATATTTGCTCTGAAACATTTGTTAGTAATGCCCTTAGAAGAGGTATCTCAGGTGGTTAGAAGAAAAGGTCGACTACAGGTAGTGAATTTGGTGTATGTAAATAACAAAGTTTACCAAAATAATGCTCTGCAGTAAGATGCATGCGCATGCTAGGCCAAGGGATTTAACCCTAAATAGATAAATGCTAAATCTTGGGTGAGTTCTGATTTCAACTTCTCCAAATTATTCAGGGGAGATTGTTATAGGTCCCATAAAAACTTTGTTTATGAATGAGATGGCAAATGGACTTGACAATTCCACAGCATTTCAGATTGTTGCTTGTCTTTAGCAGCTTGTGCATATGACAGATGCTACTTTGTTGGTTTCGCTGCTGCAACCTGCACCTGAAACTTTTGATCTCTTTGATGATATTATGTTGATGGGTGAAAATCTTGAATCATGGACCGCGCTATCACATTCTTGAATTTTTTGAAAACTGTGGGTTTAGGTGTCCTCAGAGGAAAGCGATGGTGGACTTCATTCAAGAGGAAAGTGAAATTCTATTTGCGATCACATTCATTTTCCTGTAGTACAGTCTCTTGGTTATTCAACTTAAAATTATTTTGCCTTTGGACTTTGCAGGTTTTATCCAAGAAAGATCGAGCACAATATTGGTACAGCATTGAGCTACCCTACTCTTATTTTTCTGTTGATATGTTCTCCAGGAAATTTAAAGCATTCCCTTGGGGAAGAAGATAGATGAGGACCTTGTTCTCTCCACGTAATCTCTTTAATTTACTTCTTTTAATCTCATCAATCAATTTTTGTGCTCAAACAGTTTCAAGATTCAAGAACATATATATATGATATATATAGTTTTTTTTTTTTGGTTTTTACTTTGATGTTTGGTTCCTAGGTTTTTTTGTTGTTTCTATCATTTCTTCTTTCTCTTTGCCTGTTTGTAAAACATATTGAACAGATTAGTTCGCTGCATCTACTCCAGACAATAGATGGTCAAGTATACCTTAATAAAAAATAACATTTGTCAAATGTCTTGAGTAAGAATACAAATAAAACACTTATAAATATTAAAAAAAAAGTTTTGTTTCATTATGTTTCTGAAAGTAAAACTTCCTTGTAAACCACATTTTCTGTGTGTCTCATTTTCTTTTATAGAATTCTCAGTTTTGACTAAAACTTTTGTTGTAGCCATTGAGATTCCTCTAGATAATGCAAATTCAAGATTACCATGTAAAAAAATGGATAGGAAGATAAACTCCAATTGGTATCTTGAAATTTTTTATTCACTTCATCGCAAAACAAAGTCAATTGAAATGTTTCGTATGAATTTAAATGGATACTTTTATCTTCTTGTTTAAGAGGAATCTTCAGAATGAACTTTTTCACTGTATTTGTCCTAGTTGTAATTTCTGCATAATGACATTTTTGTCAAATCCTTTGACTGTAACCTCTCCTCCATTGCACAACCTGATTGAAGGATTAAATTTCTTAGACATAATGGGCAATTCATTGAGTTCAACTTATGTGTGTGAAGTATTTTGGTGAATGTTCAAAACTCCTCCTCATAGCAATATTTTTCATCTCTCTTTATCAAAACTATAGAATTCTGCTTTCACCTGCAAATATATAATCAAAATTAGTCATATATCATCTATAAATATCAATATGGCAACATTAACAATTATTTAACTTTTATTGATATTGATCCCTGGGAATATTTTTGTCATTTTTTCATTGAGTTCATCAACATAATTATTCTTTGTTGCAAGAATTGCACGTTCCATCATATATTTTTTAGACCTGGCATTCTCTGTAAGAAAAGGAAAGATGCTGTCAATCAGCTTTCTATCGGAAATCTCATCATTCTCGTATTTTATCACCATTTCCTTTGGAAGAAGAATTAAGTCATTACTTATTGTAGGTTCAACGCCATTTCCTGCTCGAAGCAAAAACCCACTGAAGCCATCATCTAATCTTGCTCTCATATTTCTTGTCAATTTCAATTTTTCTATCTTACTCCACAAATAAGACTTTGCAAAACTAACATTAACTGTTTCTGCTCTTGTACCATGAGGAACAACAGGTAACACTTGACGAAAATCTCCTCCAAAAACAATTACTTTTCCTCCAAAAATTTCTGTGCTATCCATGATATCTCTTAATCTTCAATCAACAGTTTCAATGGCAAATCTTTTAGCCATAGGTGCTTCATCCCATATGATTAGGGATGCCCTTCGTTTCAACTCTGCAGTCCCATCTTGTTTTGAGAAACCACAAAAATCTGTTTCATTAGGATTTAATGGTAAAACAAATCGTGAATGTGCTGTTCGACCCCCAGGTAGTGTTGCAGCTGCTACACCAGATGTTGCTGTAGCTAATGCTATCATATGTCTTGATCTTACTTGTGCAAGTAAGGCTTGATAAAGAAATGTTTTTCCTGTACCACCAGGTCCATCAATAAAAAAAGCTCCACTTCTTCTTGAATTAATCCCTTCCATTATAATTATGAATGCTTTCTCTTGTTCAGGATATAATTTTGTTTCTGCATCATGATCTTCAGGATGAATTTGTATTGATTCTTCTTCTATTATTTGTACAATTTGGTCATTTGCCTTCCATCGGATCAATATGTAAAGAAGGTAAATCATAATCACAAATTGTTTTGTTCCCCATACCTTTATAACATAATAAATTTTAGCACAATGTCATTAGAAAAATTTTCACCTTAGATCATATATAATGGTCAGAAATTTTATAGAATTTTATATGAGTATTCAAGTAATACTACTATTCCAATCTTCTTGTATAAGAAATAATTAGAGAGAAAGGTATTAAACTTTTTGATCATTGGTATATCTATTTGTTGTTATGTTATTCTAAAGATATTTCTGCAAGCATAAAGTGGCGAGTTTGTCTGATCTAACTCTACAAATATAAAAAAACACTTATCATGTCTTTTTCAAACTATTCAAATGAATTATGGATCACTTTTTTTTTTGTCTTTTTCTATTACTTATTAAATTTCTTAATATCTTACGATATTCCACTTATATAAAATCAAATGCCCCATCATCGTATCCTAAAGTTTATAAAAAAGAAGTATAAAAATTAAACGGCATCATATAAGCAAAATTTAAAAATGAAAGTAAAATAATTTAATAGAGGAAAAAATTATTAGCATATACCTTCTAAAAAATAATTGATACTTGTCGATGTATCTGATACTATTGCGAAGATTGCATTTTTATGAATCCTTTTGAAATCTTCAGACCTTGCTTCAAAATATCTATCTCAAAGTTTCCTTACATTTGTAGGTTCACAATGGTATAATATTATAGCAAACAATTTTCGAAGTGCTTTTGGCATTTGATATGTTGTTGCTTCAATCAAACACTCTGTGATACTTTCATCTGATTCCAAAAGACCTCTTTTCTCTGTTGCTTCTTTGAATGACAAATAACATATTCCAGCAATTGTTAATAAATCTTTAAAAGAAGTAGGCCCTCTAACATGATTCAATAAAAGTCTCAGATAAAATCTTTCACCTTCTTTTGGATTTGCACTATTTATGCGGCCAATCACAGTTTTGTTTTGTCTTTTTGTCCATATTTGATTTTGTCTGTTCCACACATAATGCTCAGGAAATTCTCTATACAAATACTTTCTTGCATTACTTTCATTAGCACATGTTTCAAAATATTCTGTCAACATTGTTCTTGACACATGATCCCAATACAACACATTTTGTAAATTTTGATTTTCCCAATAATACACAACTTGTTGGTTTGGAAGATGTAACTGCAAGTTTATGACTGGAGGAGACATTTCATTCAACTCAAACTGAAAAATTCTCCATATAGCCTCTTGAAGAGATACCCATCTTGCATCTTGAAATTACTTTATTTCATCAATGACATTATCCCCGTCATCTTGTGCAATATAAACAGCAACTTTGTCATGCCCTTTATATATATACTTATAAAGGTACTTGACTGCCTTCACTCCTGAACATATCTCAACATTTATGTGACAATTATATCTTGTCAAAAAATATGGATTATATGGTACAATCCATCTGTTGTCAACAATTTTGTTCTTTATCTTCACCTACGAACCATTTGCTCTTCTTCTATATATTGGATATCCATCTTTTCCTTGCAGTGTCAGTGAACAAAAAGCTCTAGGATAGTGAAACTTGCATTTATCATCAACTATGCATGATTTGATAGGTCCGTATTTTCCACAAGGGCCATGTATCATGTTTTTCACAACCAATTCATGCAGCTCTGGATAAAGTTCTTTATCTGGCAATTCAGCACAAACATATCTATCAAATTGATCTTCAGATAAAATCTTGTTTCCTTCTTCTAATATGATTAATATACGGGCATGGGGAAGTCCTCTTTTTTGAAATTCAATAACATAGACACGTGCTGCAACTTTTCCGAATATTTCTTTCTTGAAAATTTGATCTTTGAGATCTTGCAATTTAGTACGAAATATTCTGGAAGTCAGATCTGGTCTATCTTGAGCAAGTTGACCTTCTTTGAGCTCATTTATAATTTCCTTCCATTCTGGATTATATGTCATAGTCATAAAAAGATCTGGCTTTCCAAATCGTTGGACCAAAGTCATTGCATCATAGTCTCTACGCCGCATGTCTCTAGGGCCACTAATAAAAGTTGCAGGAAGAACTATCCTCTTTCCCACTTGGCTTCCTCTTACTTCTCCGGCTATTACACTATCAACAATTCCTTGATACAATTCAGATCAAATATTTGATTGCTTTATCCTGTAAAAATCAAGCCTTGATGTTTCAATTTTAATATACATATCTACGAAAAATTGTTGAAACAATTGCCTAGCCAAAAGGTATATAGTTATTGTTGTTTCAAACTCTCTGATTTGGAATTTGAAACAATAATATTCCCTTATTGACATATTTCTACTCTTTTCTGCAACAATTCCTGAAGTAATAAATAAATTTTAGAGTTTACTATTTTAACTACCAATTTAACAATAAAACATAAGATTATTATAGGAAATAAAATATCAATAAGTTAAAGCAATGCTAAAAACTTGTACAAATGCTAAAGTAACTAAAAGACTAATGCTACGAGTCTTTAACATAAAACTAACATTAATCAAGTATATAAAAATAAAAAATTAACAAAGTATGATTAGATATTATAAAATAAAAAAATAGAATCTTTGTCATAGGAAGCTAATATTTATTAAGGATTTAATTGAATGAATAGTGCATGTATTTTTTTACTGATTAGCAAAGTACAATTTTATATAAGAAAGTGAAAATTTTAAAAAATGATTTGCTAACAATGAAAGTAACAAATTCTAGATAAAAATTTTACTATATATGATATGATAAAAGTAATGAGAAATAAATAACATTTAAAAAATTAAACTTATAATAATTTTAAAAATATTAAGTTCATGATAATTACCTTAACATTATCTTTCAAAAATTTCTTCTGCTAAATGAAAAGATGATCTATTTCCAATTGTTGCTTCATTCTCATTAGCATTATTCAAAATAACTTTATTAATATTTTGATGCCAACCAACTTCTCCATTTGGAAAGAGTAAAGGATACTGTAAGGGATCATAACAACCGAAATAATGTTTAACTCTTATGTCGTCTTCCTGAATAAGCATGAACTATGATATCTCTTTCAAATGGAATGTTTGAGTTGTTTCCTTCAACCCATATAGCAGCAACTTGATCAGCAGATGGATGATTATAAACTCGTTGATCTAGATTAGCATTTGCCCGCAATACGAATTTCAAAATCCTCAAAAGAAGATATATCCTTTAATCTTCGTAAGACTTGGGCATAAGGATTTTCTTCTAAAATTTTATTAGCATCTCCACAACTTTTGCACTTAAGTTTTCATTATGTTGTGTCTTCATTCTATTTTGAAGTTCATTACCAGTATCATAGAAATACAGCTAAAAATAACATGGAGTATTTTCTTCTTGAACTAATGCTGGAATATCATGACATATTTGCCCTTGTGCTCGAAAAGTGTAAATACCTTGTCTTGAAGATGCAAGATCCTTATCTAACCTAACTCCAAATGATGTGAATGAGAACATACTATTGTAAGATCTAATGTGCTTTCGAAATTCAATGGTTTCTTCAGTTTGAGATACAAAAGATACTATAATTGTTCTGGAACAGGAGTGGTAGCTAATTTCACTTGACCAGTTTGACAACAAAATGATGGAGGCTCATATTCAAACTTTTTAGCACACAATAATTACAACATGAAATATTCTTCAATTGATGTAATGGAGAAAATGAAGGAGTATACAATGTTCCACTGATAAAATAGTTTCATATTAATTCTAAAGAAAATTGAAATAAATACAATTGTATTTTTTCATTTAAAAATCTTATAAAACTAACCTTGTTTGTCATATGGAGAAGATAGAGCTATGTATAACCAGTCATTCTTTCGTCTTTTTTTTTTGCTTAGGATAATCCTCCATTGATGCTTTCATTGATTGAAGGTAATTGCATGTTCTATTAATTGAATGATTAATTCTTTTGTTATCTGAAAATTTTGTTATACATAAATTTTTATTATATTTAATCTTAAAATGCATAATTTTAAAAAATAGCATAAAATAAACTTTTACCTTGATATCTTGTCATGTTCCAATGAATTTCGTTTCACCTTAAAAGAATTCACTGATGTGTAACTTTTTCTTCTTGATTAAGGTCAAATTTGATGTAGGAAATTCCAAGCAATCCAGCAGATAGTTTTACCAATGGGAATGAGCCAAGTATTTGTCTACAAAGAAGAGAAGAATCTTTACACAAAAAGACAAAAAGATAAACATGCATAAGTTTTGCACAAAAAATCACACAAAGGTTTTCATTTAAAAGATATTGTTCAATGTCTAACTTGATCTAAACTTTTTAATGATAATGACATTATGCATATTAAATTTGAATGATGCTGCATTTGCTTATCAAGGATGTAAAAATGTAAAATTTTTTTAGTTTAGTGCTTATTATGTGGCATTCTTAGTATTAAATCTCCTTCAATGACTGTTAATTTAACAGCATGTACATATGGCATGCATGAATGTGAACTTATGCATGCATCTCTAATAGATGTATGATGTATGTGGGTAGATGTCTTGTGCATCAACAGTTTCATGTATAATCCTTGAAAGAATCTACTGTTTGTATTTATTCAGGGAAACACTACAAAAAGTTAGAAAGTTGGTTCATTTTGATGGATTTTCAAATTGTGAATATCTGCAAAAGACATTAGCTGAGGAAGTTCAACAGATGGAGTCTAGGTACTTCTGCTTTCTATTGCCCTCATCATGCAATCAATAAATACTAATAGAGATTTTATAATGGTTAAAGCACACACCATGTTCTGCTGACTCCTGAATATGCATAGGAATAATGTAAATGTAAATATAAATGATTGATTGTAGAAGCAAAACCTTATGTGAATGATTATTGCTTCCAAGAAAATGGGTTTTCACTGGAATCACACTAATATATGTAGTAATTTAGCCTCCATCTTCATTTTATTTACATTGCTTTTTTGTCATATTTCACCAGCATCTATGTCTTTAAGTCTTCCTATGGCAGTAACATACTACAAGAAAGCCCTTGCATCTGGCTTCGTGCTGGTATTATTCATCTGCTAGCAAACATGTTGAGCTTGGTCTTCATTGGAATATGCCTTGAACAGTAATTTCGATTTAGTATGTTATCTTCCTTTTTTTTTAATGTTTGATTAATTATTCCAAATTCTCCTAGGAAAATTTTGTGTTGTAGTATATAATATGTTTGGAATATGTGAAATTTTGAAGTTAAGTTTTTGGTTAGTCTTGATCAGTTAACAAAATGAAATATCAATATAAATATGACTTATAGATGATCCATTGATTGCATTACTTGGTGGATGGATTTGTTCATTCCAACAGTACTAAGTCTATTGGATTTTGTAATCTTACTTTCAGATTTTTCTTTTGATACCTACCTTGAGGGTGATTTTGCCCATCATGGTGTTATAAATGATATATGTTATTTCCCCTAGCAGTGTGTGTTGGGTTTATCTATCTATTGTCTGGTTTTGGGGGGAGTATACTATATTCTCTTTTCATTCAACATAACATTTCTGTTGATGCTCTGATGCTTTATTTGGCCTTTTTGGGGCAATGTTATCAGAGCTTCTAACGAACTGCACTATCTATTTAGGAAGAGAAATGTTTGTATGTGGTTTTTATATTTAAATGAAAGTTGTAAAAGCTACATATCTTATCATCTTATCAGGCTCGTGAACATAGGTTTATTGATTATATTTTTTTCCAAATACCTGGTTACTTTTCCTCTAGTATTGCTAATTGTATAAGCATATCAGGGGGATTCATGTATAGTTTGAGTAACAGAACTGAGGAGTCTATTTCTTTTGCTTTCTGTTCTTGATGGTTATCACTATGTGGATTTATCTTTATATAAGGTGAAGACCATCTCTTTGTCTTATTTGAATCTAACAAAGAAAAGTCAAAAATATTTTTCGTAGTATTACTAAGTTATAATTATCATTTTTAATGTATTAGCATGAAAGTGATGTTTATATTCATTAAGGAATATAATGATGAGCCAGAGAATTTTAGCTTTGGTTTTCTTCAAATTCATTTATATGCTTTGTATTACCACCAGCAATAAAAAAAAAAAATCTGAATCTTAAAAGTGATATATATCATCTTGTAATGCAAGGTTAGAACTATTTAGAAACTTTCATCTCTTAAAATTTGTTAGCTGTTTACGCAT